TCCCCAGAAACTTCCTACACTCCAAGCTCTGCCTGCCCCCTGGCCACATCCTTCTGCCTGCTGCCCCCTGGCCACATCCCCCTGCCTGCTGCCCACATCCCTGCTGGCCAGCCCCTCCTTCCCACGGGGCCTCTTTGAAGTGCTTTGCCATCCCCTGTTACGTCCCCTAATGCTGATCTAGGTGTCACAGTGACAACTTTCTGCAGAGATTAAAATCCACGTCTGTTTGCTTTTCACAAGGAGGATGTCCGTTAGGCATGTCCAACCCACAGCTTTCCTGCCACAAACCTCTCAGGCTGGCTATGAATGTGGCCCAACACATTTACAGATGACAACATCATGTGGCAATGTCCAAGTTTAGACACCATTGTGACCTAGAGTGCCCGAGTAGACCTGATTTCATCAGGAGGAATTTTAAAGCAGATCCCAGGCTTCACAGAAGACCAAAAAATTCTATTTAGGGCCAGCAGCTTCAGTCTAGGCCCACGAGTTCTGGCTGATCCTTCCTGAAGAACTTCCCTGGGTTTCAGGACACCTAGCTACCCTCCCAGGCACCTCAGACAACACCTTGCAGTAACCTATGGTACAAATCTACTGGTGCTGTTTCTCAGGCTATACAAACTCTGACTTCAGTATGATGTTCATCTGCTAGAGCGGTGACACGTTCTCTTTCCTGCCCTAAGGCATTTTCTGTAATTGCTATGCTGTTCCTCTTGCTGGCACGTGACCTACAGCAGGCGCTCAGACAGTGATGGCTGATGGACAGCCAGCAGGTGATGCGCGATTCTCTTTTTCTCTGCAGCAGTTAGCTTTGAAGAATGGAACAAAGGGAAACAGGAGGATTTACTGTGCGTGCCACTACATCCTCACACGTGCGCTGGAGGCTGAGTCATCATCATCCCACATTTCAGATCAAAATGCAGAGCAGGCAAAGTGACCCTGAATAGTTCAAGATCAAAGGCAAGCTTCAAACCCAGGGCTGTACAAGTCTGAATGTCAAGTCCTTTCTCTGGTCCCGGAGAAGCTCCCATCCAGTCAGGCTTCCAGGGCCCAAGGAATAGCTGAGAGACACCCGAGCTCAGGGCCTGGCTGTCCACAGCGGCAGCTGTGCCTCACTTCCCTCCAGGGAAGGGCTTCTGTGTAGGTGGCTGCCCAGGGCCTCTCTGACCCTCTGGCCACTCTGACCTGGGGTCACTCAGACCCAGCTCTGCTGGCCACATAAATGGGGACTGCTAGGGACTTGTGGCACAGGACAGAGGAATAGGCAATCCTCAGCTTGGCTCTGACGATATCGGACCACCACAGAAGGCTCCTTGGTCTTCATCGTTCCATCTTGCTGATCACTTTTAGAGTGGGGACTGAGCAGAATTTGATGAGGGGCCAAGAAGAGCGGACACTGTTGTGGGTGTTTGCAGCGTATGTGTGTACAGCGTGTGTGGTACACATATGCACAGTGTATAATGTGTATGTGTACTATATGTGTGTATGGTGTATGTGTACAGAGTGTGGGCATAGTATGTATATGTGCAGAGTATTTGTGTGTGTGTGTGTATGTAGTATGTGCATATGCAGTGTATGCGTATACAGTATGTGTGCACAGTGTATGTGTATGCACATTGTGTTTGTGTGTATTCTGGTGAAGCTTCCAAGAGCTGGATATATTTCACTTACTGTCTCGCTCCAGTGTATAGGTCAAGATCATGTGCACACAGGAACATGACAGAACAGGGTCAGGTATCTGGAGATGTCCCAGAGGGAAGAATGAAAAGTTCCTGGGATTTCATCACCGAGACCCATGGCTAATCTGAATCCCAGATCCAGCACTTGGTAGCTGTGGATAATCTTGGACAAGCAGCCTCAGTTTCTCTAGGTGCTAAGCAGGATTGCTAATGGTACCCTTTGGGAGATTTCTGGGATGCTAACAACCTCAAGACACACTTTTTGTTTTTTAAATATGTTATTAATATTTTTTATTTTTTATGTGTATGAGCATATTGCTTGCATGTATGTAAGTGCACCTGTCATGCAATGCCCACAGAGGTCAGAAGAGGGAGTCGGATCCCCTGGAATTGGAGTTAGGACAGTTGTTAACTGTCATGTGAGTGCTGGGAATTGAACCCGGGTCCTCTGTAAGAGCAAGAGAGTGCTCTTAGCTGCTGAGTCATTGCTCTAGCCCCTGTTTTGTTTTTTGAGGTAGGATCTCACTAAGTAGACCTGGTTGGCCTTGAATTTACTATGTAGACCAGGCCAGCCTTGATCTCACAGTGATCCACCTACTTGTACCTCCTGAGTGCTGGGATTAAAGGCGTGCACCAACAGACCCAGCCTACTGCAGGGTAGACTTTAGCCACTCCGTAAACACTGTTATTTCCTTCCACTGCTCAACGGCAGGTTTCAGCAAACCGTTTTACTGGAGGAAAGAATTCTGCTGTCAAATATGAATACACATACTTACCCCTTCCCTCCTCTTTCCCGGGGGAAGAAACAAAGACCCACCATCCTGGACACACCAGCCTGGAACTGGAGCCAAAGTTTTGCCTATCTGGAATTAGAGCAGCCCTAGGGTTTCTGGGACTGTGGCCCTTGAAAACAGCTCTTCAGGATCCCCTTTCTTGAAACCCCTAGCTCAACCTGACAGAGTCCTAGAATATCTGAGTAGGGAGGGCTCCCAAGAGGCATTTCAGAAGTGAATTTTCGGTCCAGAGGCAGTGGGCATTCTCCCAAGACACACCCAGTTAGCAACTGAGCTTCTCCTAAACCCAGGACCTGGAATCACAATCCCAGCACCCCATCCTGTTCCTTTTATCAGAATCTCATGCCTGCCCCATCTTGGGGTGGACTTATGCCAGCAACGTTCAGTGTCGAAACCAAACTCAGTGTCCCCCCAGACGTACTGTGGGCACACACTCGATGATAGCAGCAGATGCTTTTTCTCAAAGATAAAGACACAGTCTTCCCATGCCCCTGAATGTCCCAGGTTTCCAGTCATGAGTGTTTAAATCACTTGTAACAGGAGGAGACAGAAATCTTTTCCAGAGAACAAAATCATAAACCACATCAAAGAGGAAGGCTGTGTTCATGTCCAGACAGGAGCACGTGTTCCTGAAATGCAGTCCTCCAGAGCAACAGGACTGGGCAGGGAGCAGGACAGTGTTCTGAGAAGATTGTGTCTCTGCGGCCTTTGCAGCTTCCCCATACCAGGGAGCCTGGTAGCATCCATAAGGGCCTCAAGAGAGGAAGACTGGCCACAGGTTTCTGCTAGGCTGGACACTGCCCCAGTTCCTCCACCACGGCAAGTGTGTGCCATGACCAGCTTCCTATCCAGATGGGTTTACAAAACAAGACGCAATAAGCAGGGGACCTGAGCCAGCCGCAGACAAAACAATCCCGGTCTCACCAAGTGGTTTTGGCAATAGGGAGGGGCAGGTCACACTGGGTCTGGGACAGGCTGAGCTGGAGTTCTGTCTCTTGTTGCGTACCCTAATATCCAGGGTCCAAGGGTAATGAGGGGACCTAGACTTTTGCCCTTTCACCTCCTGGGGGTAGCCTTGCTGCTTCATTTATTCATTCATTCATTCCTCCATCTAGATGTCTATTCTTAGTGTGTTTGCCATGCTAAGGGTGAGAATCTGTGATGACGACATGGTGGTCAGGACAAAAAGAATTAGGACCAAGAACATCCTAGTGCCATCCTTCAAGGGCCTTCAAGGGTCACCTCTGAGAAGCCTTCCCTGACTTCTCTTCCAGAAGACAGTTCTCCCTTGTCTGGAATGAGCCAAGAAGTAGAGGAGTTTGGAGTGGAGCTCTGGGGACCAGGTGGGCCCTTGGCAGAATGGCTGGTATCCCATATCTTCATGAGGAGGACACAGGATCGTAGGTGACTCTGGAGACTTTTGTACAACCTCGTCTCTCAAAAAAAAAGGAAGCAGTGAGCTCCCTGTCCCAAGAAGCATACAAGCAGAGGTGACAGGGTCCTCTTGCCGAGTTTGCATAGGCACATTCCTCCTTCATTGGCACCCAAAGGTGGAATGAGTCAGTCTTAGGCTCACCGGATGTGGCACAGTGGAGATGACTCCCTGCCTCCCTGCTTGGCTCCCCCACAGCCTTTGAGGATCCCTGGCTGGCTCTATCTTGTCAGGCTTACCAGAAGACCAGTCCAAGAGCCTCCCGCTGGCCACGTCCTCTGCTGATTCAGGCTGCTGGAGGTGGAGCCCCTCAGAAGAGAGGGAGTCAACCTTCAGAATTCCAGAGCTCTGGGTTTTGCCAGCGTTGTTGTCTTTTCCAGAAAGGGGTGGGAGGAACAGGGTTGTGATTGCCAGTCTCCAGTCTGCAGAGCAATGGGCCAGAGAGATGCAGAGAAGATAGGAAAAGCCAAGCCTGGGGACCAGGTTCTCATCAGGACTGGGCTTGAGCAACAGACACACACCAGTCTTGGTTTTTGCCTGTACTGCTGGACCATCTGGGTAAACGACTCAGCTCCTAGGTTGACTTCCCTGACCTGGTGTTGTGAGGACTAGTGACAGAGGGCAGCATGCCGCCCACAGATTGTCATTTGTTCTCCTTCCTTTTTTAATTTTTTTGGTCTTTTTGAGACAGGGTCTCCCTGTAGCCCCAGCTGGCCTGGAACTCACTATGTAGACCAGGCTGGCCTTGAACTCACAGAGATTCGCCTCCCTCTGCATCCTGAGTGCTGGGATTAAAGGCATGCGCCACCATGCCCGGCTCCTCCCATATTTTTGAGTACTTGACAGATAAACCCCTTCAGTGTGCTGATAAGTCCTATCAGCCCTGTTTCATAGATCAGTGAACTGAGGCACAGTCAACAGACCAGAGCTTGGGTTTAAACCTGGTAGTCTATGCTGGAACCCCTTCGCTGTGTTTTTTTTTAAACATTTCCTTTTGGGAAACTACTGCATTAGTTACTTTTCTGTTGCTATCAGACATCCTGACTGGTTTTCAAGACCCAGCAATTTATAGAAAGAAGAGTTTGTTTGGCTTACAGTTCCAGAAGGATGAGAGTCCATCCTGGCAGAGAAGCTTGAGAGCCTGTAGGCACGGAAGGAGCAGGAAGCAGAGAGCTCACACCTGCAATGACTAACAGGATAGAGAGAGGGAGGGAGAGAGAGAGACAGAGAGAGACAGCGAGAGAGACAGAGACAGAGACAGAGAGAGACAGAGAGGCAGAGTGAGCCTATGAACTCTCAAAGCCCACCCCTAGTGACATGCTTCCATCAGCTAGGCCACACCTCCTAAAGATTTCGTGACCCTCCCACCCCCAAACAGCATCACCACTGACCAAGTGTTCAAATACTTGAGCTTATGGGGGACACTTACTCAAACCACCACAACTGTGAATTGACACCCAGTAGCTGGACCACCATCAAGAGACATCACGTGACTGTCGCTTGGCTTCAATAGTTTCCAACTCACAGTTGGTCCTGCTCCTACACAGGACAGTGCAAATCATTTCACCTGTCAATAGCTCAGTCTGGGGCTGGGGAGATGGTTCAGTGGGTAAAGGTGATGGCTATACTTGCCTGGTGATCTGAGTTCCATCTTTGGAAACTTTGTGAAAAGCTGGATAGGGTGGCACCTTGGGGATGCCAATGAGACTGGGTGCACATTTATAACCTCAGCGTCCCTGGCAGGGGGTAGAGACAAGAGAACACCTGGAAGCTTGAAGGGAAGCTATCCTGGAGTACACAGCACAGCAGTGGAAATGAGAGAGACCCAGAGACCCTGTCTCAGCAGGAGGAAGGTGAGAACTGGCTTCTGAACGTTTCCTCTGACCTCCACAGGCATGCGATGCCATGCACTCATCCACATGCATACCCACACACATACACATGCACATATATACACAATTACACATGTGCACAGGCACCTCTACTCTTGTGTACCTGCACACACTCACACACATTCACACACACATACGTTTACACATGTGCCCATGCACCACCCAGTGCACCTGTATACACACACACACACACACACAGAGTTCAGCATGCATCTCAGGTAACAGCCACACAGCCACTGTCACATCTAAAAGAAACAAATAGCATTTCTTTTTGGTCTTTTTGAGGCAGGAGCTCTCTGTAGCCCCATCTGGCCTGGAACTCACTACATAGACCAGGCTGGCCTTGAACTCACAGAGATCTGCCTGCCTCTGCCACCCGACTGGGATTAAAGGCATGCGCCACCACACCAACAAACAGCGTTTCTTTGCTGGCACCAGCCATCCTGTGTTCGGATTCCCAGTTGTCTGGTTAACTTTGCTTTATCTTTCCCCACAGCTGACTTTTCTGAGCCAGAGAGTGAATTGCTTTGCCTACCGGGCTGCCTGGTGTCTCTTCAGTTTCTCTTCAACTGTTCCCCTTGCCGTCTGTTTCCTCCAAACCCCACTTGCTTGTTCCATAGCTCCCCCAGCCCAGAGCATCCAGTCCCTTTGAAATTGAGCCACGAAGTTCTTTTGATTTTCTAGTGTCCTCATTCAAAAAAGGGAAAGGACACAAATGAAGTGAAGTCTGACACACTCGATTTAACCATGTCGTCTGTTGTGTTTACCCCCAAGGTTCACGTGCTTGAAGCCCTATCTTCTGTGGGGTGATAGGAGGTGATGGGCTCTTTAAGAGGTGGGGTCTAGTGGGAGGACTTTAGATCCTGAGCACTTTGGGGTCCTGAATGGAGTAGTGCTGTCTCCTGGGAATGCATCAGGTATCCCAGGAGTGGATAATTCTCACAAGAGTAGGTTGTTAAGGTGGTAAAAAATCTCTGAGATTGAGGTAGTCTGGTCTACATACCGAGTTCAAGGCCAGCTGTGGCTACAGGGAGATCCTGTCTCAAAAACAAAAAGCAAATCAAAAAAGGTGCTTACAGTGAATCTGGCCTTTTGTTGCTCACACAAATGCCCTGTCTGTACACTATCAATTAACTGTTTTTTTTTGTTTCTCTGCCTCCTGGCGACATAGTCAGGGGACATCTACTAGGACATGGGTGGGTGCTGTGCTACTTGCTGGTGCCCCAGACACCAGACTCATGGCTTAAACAAACCTCTTTTCTTTATAAGTTACCCAACCTCAAGTATTTTTGTCACAATATCAAAAATGGACTAAGGCGAAGTTCATTGCATGATGTTTCAAAATGGAATCAATACAAAAAAAACCATTAGTGAGCTATTTTATGATATTTTCCAGGCAACTCTTTGAAATTGGTATTTTATACAGATCACACACCTCCATTTGTAAGAGCCACATATAAAGTGCTTTACAGGAAGTTCAAGCCATCCAGGTTAGGAGCTTGGAATGTTCAGCCCCAGTCTATCCCAGAGGAACAGAGGGCTGGAAACTGAGTTTGTCATCCATCACCAGTACATGATGAAGCCTCCATAGTTGTACCTGAGGCAGCTGGGGAAGTTTCCCTGTCAGGTGACAGGTGAGATATACAAGGCCTGTGCCCTGCCCGCCATGGCACCCCTGAATCTCTTCCTTCTGGCTGCTCCTGAGCTGTCTTATGATCAGTCTATAAATGTAAAAAATGTTTCCCTAATTCTGTGAGCCATTCTAGAAGATTCTTATAGCTGAGGAGGGGGCTGTGGGAACACTTTATTGACAGCTGACTGATCGAAAGTGCAGGTTACAATCTGAGGCTTGGGATAGGCATTTCAAATTGGGGCAGTCTGTGTCCTTAACTTGTGAGGTCTGGGCCGGCTCTGGCCCACTGACCCCACAGGGCCTTCCTGGGTCAACACAGGTGTTTTAGGCAGCAAGCAGGCTTCTTGCTGCTAGCCTGACAACTTGAATTCAAGTCCTGAGACCCACATGGCAGAAGAAGAGAATTGATACCCATAGCTGTCTTCTGACATCCACATGCACAGAGGCACACACATGTGCACACACATACACAAAATAGATGTAATACATTTTTTTGAGTCTTTTTGAGACAGGGTCTCCCTGCAACCCCAGCTGGCTTGGCACTCACTATGTAGACCAGGCTGACCTTGATCTCACGAAGATCCACCTGCCTCTCTGCCTGTGACTAAAGGCATGTGCCGCCACACTTGGCAGATGTGATAATTTTAAAAAGACGGTGTTTAATTTGTCATGTGAAGGTACTAGAGGTGGTGAAGCTGTATCAGGAGAGCCAAGGGTCCCTTCATGTCCCCAGCAATACTGTAAAAGTGTGTGAAACCAGGTAACTCTTAGAATGGCAAATGCATGCAAGAGAAGGATCTTGTATTTTGAAGGATGTCCAGCAAAGTGACATGGTGGCTTCCTGTCTATACTTATTCTGTCCCTTCAGGCTGCCTTCTGTGTGTGTGCGTGTGTGCGCCTCTGTGTGTGGAGGCCAGAGGGCAATCTTGGCTATTGTTCTTCAAGTTCCTCAAGTGCCATCCTTGTCGGGGTTTTTTTCAAATTTTAATTTATTTTTATTTTATGTGTATGAGTGTATTTCCTGCATGTGTGTAAGTGCACCTGTGTCATGCAATGCCAGTAGAGGTCAGAAGAAGGCATCAGATCCCCTGAAACTGGAGTTATGGATGGTTGTTAGCTGCCATGTGGGTGCTGGGAATCGAACCCTGGTCCTCTGCAAGAGCAGCCTGTGCTCTTAACTGCTGAGCCATCTCTCCAGCCCCATCTTGCTTTTTGAGACAGGGGTCTCTCACTGATCTAGAGTTTGCCAAGTAGACTAGGCTGGTTGACCAGTGAGCCCCGGGGAACTGTTTGTTTCCACCTCCCCAGTATTGGGATTACAAATATGTATCACCACGCCCTGTTTTTTCTTTTTTCTTTTTTTTTTTTAAAGTTGGTTCTGGGTATGGCATTCAGGACCTCATTCTTGACCAACAAGTACTTTACCTTCTGAGCCAGCTCTCCAGCAGGCTGTCTTCTTATCACCTTTGTGTCTGTTGCATAAACACCCCACCCCTAACTTACAGGAGGAGCCTGGTTTTCAGGGATTTGTGTTGTGCCCCAAGCTAGGGGACCTGACCCTGCCTGGGTGCCTATACAGCACCATAGCATGGTGGAAAATTTTCCACATTCCAAACTGGGATTTGGAGAACTTCTGACAAGCACCAGCTTGCTGACTTCCCCTGGTATTTCACATTTTTTTTAGTGGCAGAAATAAAGCCCTCCCAGAGTCCTGCCCCACTTATAGCCAGTCTGACTTGTCCCCAGGTAGAAGCAGCCCAGGCTTACACACCCCGTACCTGCTCCAAAGTCTGCCCTGGGAAGCCGGGCTCACAGTTCTGTCTCCCCATATCTTATTGGTGAATGGTGTGGGTTATTAGTAGGTTCTCAGTGTGAAAAACACAAATGAAATGTACTGTCTTTTCTCTCGAAGGAAGTTTTCAAATTAAGAGGCTTCAAAAATTAACCGTGGTGTACATTTTCTTTATCTCCAGTTTGCTCTCCCCTGGAGGGTGGGGAGGGAGGGGGAGGCTGTTGACTCTCACAGACTGAGTCCTGGACTCACAGGGTAACATTTGTATAAAGTTAAAATGATATAACGCCAATATATACCTTAATGTTGTTTATTTCTGAACATGTCAATGTAACTTGTAGCACTGTAGTTTGTTTTCTCGTCCATAACTCTCCCTCCACCCCCATAACTTACTTTTATGACTCTGGCTCTGTGCTGAAATCCCACATCTCTAAATCTTAAGTATTCTTACTAGAATGCCCCTCTCCCTTTAAATTAGCCAGCCAGGTTTGGACTGTGTGACCAAACGTGACTGATGAAGGACAGCCAAGCTCTCTGTCACATTAGTTATAAAGGGAGAGGACATCTTCACAAAGTGTGCTTGCTGGATTCAGAGTTGCTTGATACCTTTCTGCAGAAGTAAGACTTTCTGCCTTGCTGAAATGCTTTGTGTTATGTGGTCATTTTTGTGGGACCCCAGACCCATTTCCAACAACCCAGCCAGTATTGGGGATCACAGTTCACGAGAGTCTGCTCCTAAGGCAGTACCAATTCTCCATCTGCAAGGATTCACCTTTGACTGCCCATCCATTCAGGACCCCTCAGAGCCAAGACTGCATAAAAATACCCTGGTCTACACATGGCGGGTCACATGAGGGAGGCGGTGGGGACAG